TCACAAGTCACCAAACTAGCTCCAAATAAACCCAAACAAGCTCACGGGTAAAGCCAAAAAGAGAGATAAAATGCCACCAAACCAGCCCCAAATAAACCAGCTTTAAAGCAATGGTAGAAAATCCCGAACCGAGCCAGTTAATTCAACTCAAAAGCGAAGGCATAAAACCCCAAACCGAGCCAATTAATTCAGCTCAAAACGAAGGCATAAAACCCCAAACTGAGCCAATTAATTCAACTCAAAACGAAGACAGAAAACTCCAAAAGAATTAAAGCCAAATCTCCATTTAATATAGGTATATTTTCAGCCAACATTTAATCCAACATAAACCACATTCAAGCCCATCAAATGGGTCAAAACAGAACTACCAAGAGCCAGGTTCCACAAAATTTTAGAACCCAAAATTTACATCCTGCATATGCTTCAAACAAGGACAGGTAACAGGAAACCTATAAAACCATGTTGGCCTTTAAAACCAACATCCCAAAGCATCAAAATGAGCTATAACATATATTTCAGCAAAGGGGCAACATAGAGGATCAAGATGTGAGCCCCAAATGTAATTTCCCAACTCATGAAATAATTTTCAGCATCTTTTCTATCAAAGGGCAGCAAGAGATGAAATAAATGAGCTCTAAATACATTTTTTTTTTAGCTCATAAACATAATTTCCAGCATTCTATCAAGGGCAGCAAGAGATGAAATAAATGAGCTCCAAATACATTTTCCCAGCTCATAAACATAATTTCCAGCATGTTTTCTATCAAGGGCAGCAAGAAATGAAATAAATGAGCTCCAAGTACATTTTCCCAGCTCATAAACATAATTTCCAGCATAGGAACAAAATTGGACCAATCAAAGGGGTAAAACAACAAAGATTTCAGCCAAGACATGATATCAAAAGGAGCCAAACCAAACCCAACATATGAGCAAAACAAATGCAAATATCCCTTGCAAGAATCCATCACAAAAAAAAAAAAATTAAAGTTGAACTCAACAAGTGAGCTAAATGAAATGTTATTTCAGCTATTATGAAGCCAAGACCGAAACCCAGACAACGGCAAAACAGAGAAAATTTCCAACATATGTTTCAAACAGTGATAGGTAGCATGAAATAGATGAACTTGAACTAATCATTCATTTTTGAACATAAGTAATAAAGGAGTTTGATAACTCATTCTAACATGCATTTCGAGAGGGGCAAATCTCATCTCAAAACCACCATTACGATACTTCCAAATATCTCAAGCAAGAAGAACAAAGACAATTCACACATGCTTTGTTTTCACCCATTTCTAGTGAGTATCCATGCTTAAATTTCAAAATAAGCCTAAGCTTCATTTTCTCCTAAGCATGCTTAGAAAACCATTCAAGTATGGAGCAAAAGGAGGACTCCCAACTACCATTCTATGTGCAAGCTACAAGTTTCACCACATATCCTTCTCCACTTTTTTTTTTTTTTGTTTTTAGAGAAAGATTGAAGCTAGAACAAGTAACCAAGCCAACAACTCATAGTAATGAATAACTAAGGGAGGAAGGGATACCTTGCAAAGAGAAGAAGGGATACCTTGCTTGAATTTTTTTTTTTAAAGAGAAGAACGAGAAAAGAACAGCACCCCAAGAATACCAAGTCATTTAAATATATACATAAGCAAAGCATTTTTGTGTGAAAATTATATTTATATTTTTTTTGTGAATGATATTAAAATATCTTAATATGAAATATTAAAAATTAGGCATATAAAGGAATAAATGTCTGGTGTAGCTATTTTTATAAATGTTACGACCAAGAGTGATTTCTTTCCGAAGTTCCAACATTCTCCTCTCATTTCCCTTTCCTGACTTGAATTTTCCTCTTCTCGACTTCAATCTATCTCTACATGAATTTATGTCCACATTTCATCCTATATTTTCCGTATTCAACATAGAATCTGAAGATTCATCATTCGTTGTCTTTATGCAAACTTCTTCATTTAGCACTAACCCAATGATATTATCGAAGTTTAACTTCATATTATCTGAAGAGTTACTCACCGCCATAAATAATCTAACCTAGCTGTCCGACAATGAAGACAGAATTAATACTGTCTTGACCTCATCAACAAAATTGATACCCACATAGCACAACCACCCGTATTTTTCGTTCACTATGTTGAACGAAACAGATAAGGAAAGTGAAAGACGGATCAAACCTAGCGTTAGCACTTCTCATTTTTTCAATAATCATTTCAGGCTCCTTGTAATTCCTTGTAGTGACAAATACAATTTTTTTGATAAAGCAAATCTTCTACTTGCATTTTCCATAACACAAAGTTTGATCCATTGAACTTCTCCCCACATTATATCTTGCTTCGACAATCATTACTCTCACTCGAATCAAAAGTCTTCAGTAAAGAAATTCCACTTTGATATCATTTGTTGGGATGGGAAAATGAGGGTTTTAATTGATTTACAATCAAACTCACACTGCGAAAAATAGAATCGCACAGATTCAAAAAATCAGTAACAAAATATCGAATAGAAATGCAAAACAAAGTAATCATAGTAAAATACACTAAGATTTAATGAGGAAAAACTCGAGAACAAAAAAAACCACGGAGCCACACCATACCAAAATTTCACTACAAATGAAGAAATGTAGAGAGATTTTGAATACTAAGATCTTCCATTTACAATGCTAGAAAAAATATCACTCCAAATCTTCTCTTGATCGCAAAAGAGACATTGCACACCAAAGTTTAACCTCTCGTACACAACGCAGCTTCTATGCTCCGTCAGGAGATCACTGTGTGCATAGAAGTTGTTGTTCTGAATCGAGGAATTTAACTCCCAAAATAGAGAAACTGTCTCAGTGTAACCATATTGACGCCCTGCGTAAATATTTCTCACTCTCGACCATCAACACCTGAAACGAGCAAAACACCAATGTAGCTACGCCCAGCTGCGGTGTATTTACGCTACCTGGTGTAGCTATGTCTGTTTTGGCATAAGTACACCAAGATTGCAATCTCCACACTCAACAATTGGCATGGTAGCTAGGCTAAAATTGTATTCCCCCCCCCCCCCCCCCCCAAAAACATTAACAACATCATAAGATATTCTATAGCAATCATTTATAATCTAATAAAGAATCTATAATTTTATTTCTAAACAACAAATATATCAATTAATTACACATATTATAGAAAATTATCTAAAAAGAGTGGTAATCTCTTGAATGAGTGCTCTCAAAGACTAGAGATGAGACAAGATGCTCTCAATGAGTGACAAGCTATTAACAATGAGCTCTTGGTGACAAGTCTTGCGGAAATTCTCGAATGAAGATTAGGTGAGACACTCAAATGAAAATAATGACTCAATATTATGATTCATACAACATGCCACTATAACTTCTTGCCCTCACTTATAGATTCTTCTCATTATACGATAAGTGATAACATAATACAAAGTTGAGCAATTATAGCAATCATTTATAATCTAATAAAGAATCTATAATTTTATTTCTAAACAACAAATATATCAATTAATTACACATATTATAGAAAATTATTAGCAAATGGTAAATTATGGCATACCAAGATGACGTCGGAAAACAGTCGAGACCTTAGACTTACCAATAGTACCTTCTCAAAAAACGCTTAAGTTAGTATCACCATTTTTCCAAGTTATTAACAAAACACAACACTGAATTACTTAAGAGAAACAGATAATCCAAAAAATGGAAACTGTCCAGCCAAAGCTTCATATTTTGCCTCCAAAATCATTTGTCGCTCCACCAACCAGGCAGAAACAAATAACACCACCCCGCTTTCCCCACGCCGGCATTCTTAAAGCCATATGCTCCGCTCTACTTGATAAACTGCATGAAACTGAACCTAAGTAAAAGAAAAACTAAAAAGCAAAATTGTCCAAAAATTTTGTTGCTGTTCTCCTTCTAATCACTCCATGTCTACCACTTCCAATCTACCTCCACATCCTCCCCCATGCTCAGAAACATAGAAGAGGCGTGCAGGCACAAGAATGAGATTAATGAGAGAAGAACAAAGGAAAACACATGGTTGCCAATAATTTCAATTTCTATCAGGTGTTGCGTATTTATCTAAGCCTCTGAAAAAGGGAAAAAAAGGATGGCTAGAATGCAGAGCATCTTATCTTATTTATTTTCTCAATCACAGCCAAAGATTATTTTTCTTCTCAATTGGATTGTATCAGTTCAAAATCAACCTAATCATGTGACCAACTTGCCCAAAGTCCAAATCTTAAAAATCAGTTCAACCAATAGTTAACCAGACCAGGGAAACAACAAGCCACTACAAAGCCCTTTGTAAGATTGTACATTCATGAAATAGATAGTAGAAATGTAAAAAAATGCCATTCAACAAGCATATTCCCACAAATTACTATATATAATATAAAATTGTTTTTACAGTATTTTTTTTTTTTTTGAAGAAGACTTTCTGGTTAAGGTTAAACACATCTAGAGAAATGTTTCATGATCATTATTAGTTTTCTTTCTTGCATTTTCGATATTGCTAGGTGAGACCAATATTATATGTCCTGCTATGATATTATTTCTATAAAAACGTATGTTGTTGACAATGATTACAAAAACTGGTTCCTAAAAGATGCTATATATAAGAGGTTTCTTCCAGTATATTGCTGATTAGCAGTACGTTTTGATTACATCAACAGACATTGTGGATTGTATAAACGTCCAGGCATTTCGTAACGAGGCATGAATGCAATTTTCTAATTTCACCATCACATTTTAGAGGTTGCAGAACATCAATAATCAGACAGTCAAAAATAAATTATAAAACCATTCAATCGTGGAAATAGAGAACCAAGTTTGATAAAAAAAAAAGGAAGGAAAGTCAGTATAGGTCAATAAATAAAACAAGGAAAAACAGCAAAGAAAGGCATGAAATATCTGATCAAACTTTCAAAAAGTCTTTATTGCATCAATATTAGCATTTATATCTCGGGAAAATAATTCGTACCTTGGGATAATAAGCCGGACCCAAGGGAAGTTTTGATAAGATCCAATCCTTTACATCATCCACTCCATGTCCATATTTTGCACTCACAGGTATGATGTCATCAGCTAATGAGAATTTCTCATACCACTGTAACATATTACAGCTTTAAGCAATCATACACAGAAACTAGTGAGAAAAAAAGCCATGCAACAATCACGGTTCATTATAACACAACATTTATAGACTTTTTTTTTTTTTTTACCAACCAACATTTATAGAATTAGACATTTATAGAATTAGTGCTTCTAAATAATGAAAATTTTGTTACCTCAAGCCTCTTTGCAATCTCTCCAGGTTTAATTAGATCCTTCTTATTCAACACTAAAAGTATAGGAACTTGGTCTTTAAAAGCACCCATACCTTCCTCAAAAATCTCATCAACCTATAAATTTGCAATGAGTAAATGATATCATCAAGATTTAAACCTTCATTTACCCTCTCAGTTTTAACAGTAATATGTATACCTTCTTGGGAATTTTACAAGCATCAAGAACAACAAGCACACAATCTGCATTAATTGCAGCAGTGCGAACATTTTTCATCATCAAAGAATCTAATTTGTGCATTTTCTTCTCAATGACACCAGGTGTATCGTAAAGTACTATCTGCAAACTAACCACAAGTTCAAATGTTTGCCTTAAAATTAATGAGCAAAGATATTGTGATTGTTAGAAACTCCAACCATAACCTCAAGTAAAGAAAAACCAATACCTGATAATCAGTGTCTGAACAAATACCAAGGATTCGATGCCGTGTAGTTTGAGGTTTATCTGTGACAATGGAGAGTTTCTGTCCAATCATTTGGTTTGAAAGAGTACTCTTTCCTACATTTGGTTTACCTAAAACAGCTACATAACCTGCATTTATGAATGGGAATATTTACTTACATGCCTCTCAATTCCTATGTATTTTCATATCTAACACCTAAACATTAATTTTTATATATTTACCACCTGATCTATGCATAAAAAGGTGTATTTCACATAATAGTGGAATCTTCTATGTGAAGTGAAATATTTGGGTGTTGTAAATGTAAAAAATAAAGTTTAGGTGTTAGATATGTAAATACATAGGAATTGGGTGGTATGTATGTAAATGCCCCTATGAATAATGCTACTAGTTAATTCCTCATAAAATGTAACATTGAGTTTTTTTTTTTTTTTTTAAATGAACCCCAAAAAAATCTAACAAGCCATCATTAAATTGCATCAGAATTGTTTATAGAAACACATATCACCAACGCAACAAAACTGAAAGTGAATCAGCAAACACGTTCCTCCAATACTTTATCCACAAAAACTTGGAACAACATGCAGGAGTATAAGAAGAAACGTCTATACCATTCTACATGAACAATCTAGACTAACAAAAGACACAGGAACAAATCCAAATATGATATAATTCAACGGCAGTTCAAATTTCTCGGTGCTAGCTTAAATTGTTGCAATTAATGCCGCAACTGAAGTACGATGCCTATGCATGACCCCAAAAAAAAAATTTCAGAAGGCATCAATTAACAACTTCCTTAAAAAGTATTTCAAAACAAAGCCAAATTACTCAAAACGAAAAGGTAAAACTCATATGTTTAATCAATTTGCTGTAGAAAAGGAGTGAACTTGATCAATCACACCGTTACCATATTAAACTAACACTTTTCCCCTAATGCCTCCATTTGAAACGCTGCCGAAAAAAGGAAATTGAGAAAAGCTGTTGTTCAAGAATTTAATAAAATCATGTCAGACTGGAGCTGAAGCGAGAAGTAAACGAACAAAGAAGTGAAGTTAACCACTGCGATGGGATTGACTATTGGAACGATCAGAATCGAGCTCTTGGAGCACATAATCATCAAGCAATGCAGGGTTCCTATCAGGCTTCCCGTTCAGAAAGAGCGAGGAGGAAGACGAATTGAAAGACAACTGTTCCAGTTCCTCATCCACAGCCCCTTCCACTTCTTCATCATCTTCAACTTCAGCCGGTCTCCGTGTTTTGGAGATGACAGCCCTGTGTTTTCCCTCGGGAGATGAGAGTTTTGTTCTAGCTTGGGCAGCACAAGCTTGGAAAGGTATCCGAGAGGAGAGAGGCAAAAATGATGTTTCACAAAAGATGAAGCGAGCAGAAGAATGAGAAGTGGAAAGAGAAGCTCCTCTGACGCTTGTAGAACAACAGGAGGCAGCAAGACACAGCTCCATTCCAAAGGGCATGGGACGAGTGAGCGAGCCTCGAGGGTAGGGCTCTACATTATCCAGAGCAGGAATAACACTGAAGGAGGACGGTCCACCGAATGTAATCCCATACTATTTTTTTACATAAATATCTAACCAACACAGTTTCTATAAAGTCATGTTGTCATAAGAAAAGAGTTTATATTTGTTATAACTTGTTATCTTTTTGAAAAAATATTAAAATAAATAATAGAAAAATACATAAATTTTATGGAAAATTTTCAAGGCTGGAAATATCATGCGGAAATTAAAGTTGGAGCGTTTGGCCTAACAAAAAAAAAAATCAAAGAAAAACAAAGAAGAAAAAGTGTGTTTGTTTGTACAAAATAAAGAGGCCTATTTATTCTGACATCCTGGGTTTGGAAATCAATATAAACTGTTGACATAAGTTGTGATGAAAGAATTTACACATATTTTATATTCTCAAATAAGAATATTATAGACAAGTAATAGTTAAAATAAACAACAAAAGTTAAAATTTTATTTCATTATATAAACTAGAATTTAAAAATTGATATAGCTGAAAAAACAAGAAAATAACTAAATAGAAATTGAAATATAAATGAATAACTACCCAACCCCAAAAGAAAAACATAACTAATGTAAATACTAATAAATACCAGAAAGTAAATCTAATGCTGGAAAGTCAGCTCTTGTGGAGACGATTTTGGAAGAGATTAAATAGAACATGTTATACAAACTTTTTAATGAGTGAGTTTAACAAATCAAACTCAATAAATGATCAATACTTATTAAACATAAATGACAATGATTGAGACATGTTGTATGAATAATAAAATGTGGTGATTTACTATATGCATAACATAACTTACAAAGAGTATCAAATGCTAATAATTATGAAAATGGGTGACTTAAACTCATGCACTTCTATATAAATATTTATATGTCATAATATCAAGTGTATTTATATATATGCTCGATGATTTACAAATGTAGTGTGTGTATGAGGGGAGGGGGTGACACTCCAAAATAAGGAAACGTATGCACTAATCTCATGGAAATCTAATGATTTTTCTAAGAACCTATCAGTATGACTAGTCATAACATGGGTTAAATATCTCAATTCAAATTCAAAAAGCTATTGGAGCATGATAATTCAAATTCAAAAATACATAAGAACTTAAGTTCATATAACTAATAAGATAGAAACAATAAGAAAGAAATAAAAGGGTACATGATAACCAACCTGCAAGGATTTATGTGTGGAGAGAGAAGCATAATGTTTAATGCATAAGCTCTAACTTAAGAGAGGAAGGGGAGTTAGTGATTAGAATCAAAACAGAGGAGGATGGACGAAGAGATTGGTGACTCTAGAGAGAAGTGAAAAAGACAAAACAATGCATGTCGACCGCCGGAATCGTGTGTCGATCCACTGCCGCCAATTCTCGTCGTTCATGTCTTTGGTTTGTTGTCGAAAGGATTCGTCACTCTGTTTATCTATTTTATTGTCATAATCTTCAAGTAACTTGTTTTTTTGAATCATTTAAAGAATTCTCAGATGTTAAGAAACTTGGAGGAAGAAAGAAAAAGGCTAATAAAAATAGAAAACAGTAGAAAAAGAAAATGTCGGGATGATTTTCGTTATGGTGATAATTATAAGGAAATTGAATTCTCGTACAAGGAAAACCACATGAAAAACTCAATAACCAGTGATATAGGTATTTACATATTCTCAGATCTTCATTCTCTTATAGGAGCAAGCTCCTATAATTAATTATATCTCAGACAGTCAAGAGTTTCTCGGAGTACTTCTGATTAACATTAACTTTGGTTCTTCTAAAAAATTTAATGTCAAGATCAAGGAAATAAACATCAATGTTTGAGCCTAGGATAATAGGTTTCTAAGAATCTAATTCTTCCCCAGAGGTTTTGTTATGTCATATTGTTTTTGTCAGTTTGTTTTGTTCTATTTTTGTCATATGTCATTTGTTTTGTTTTTTGTTTTGTTATTGTTATATTTTGTTTATGTCATTTGATTTTGTCGTTTCGTTTTATTGTTATATTTTTTTGAGGTTTTGTTGTGGTTGTTTTGTTGTTTTTGAAGTTTTGTTGTCATTTTGTTACATTTTGTTGTTTTTGAAGGTTTTTTTCATTTTGTTGTTCTTGAAGTTTTGTTGTTATTTTGTTGTTTTGAGGTTTGATGCGCTCCTAGTGTGTGTTATTTTTTTTGTGTTTTATATCAATTTAAATCCCCCAAGACGGCGTCAAAAATATGATCAGACCTGAAGATACGCAGTAATTTAGCTTTAAAAAATATGGCAAAAAACTTGACCCAATGTATATTAAGTATTTAATGTGCAAAATTTAAATTTTATATAAAATATATAAATTAGTTCACACACTATAGGTTCTACGCAAGTGCACTTATTGCTTTAAGTAATATAGGACTTTCCTTAGAAACCTCAGTATCGATCCCACGAAGAAGCGAGATAAGAGGTCCTTAGTCAAATTCTAGTCTACTACTATTAGTCCTTAGTTTGGAAGATTGATTTAAGTGGTTTTTCTAACAAGTACTCCTAAATGTAAGTCCTAAGTTTAAAATAACTAATAACTATTCCTAAATAAAAATTTTAATTCTAAAGATAACCCTTTTTAGAAGAATTGGTTTGGAAAATTTTGAGATGTTAAAAACTGTTATTCTTATGTAGTGAATTGGATTAAATAAATAAGATGCATTAAATTTTGTATGTGTCAAATAGGAGCAATTTTAATTCTCTACATCAGTCATGTGTTATAGAGAATCGTTGGCTAATCTTAAGTTTAGTCTCTAAATCAGTGGTTAGGCTGGGAGGATACTGGTTCTCACTCCAAAGCTCTCACTTCCCTTCCCCTAAAGGCTAACTCTCGCTTTAGGTCTTAAACACTAAGACCAAATTAGTGATTTTTAGTCTGTCACCCTAAAATCTCCAATTCTACACCCAACAATGTATATGCCTAGTAATATATATATTTCCCTGTTTATTTGCACTCAACCCCCATGAACTTCACCATTCATGGAATTTGAATGTGGTTCCATTTTGTTGAGGATTACACTGCCCTCTCGGGTCTTAATGCAATTACAATGAATTTTAACACTACAACGGGCCCTTATTGCTAAACTTTCAAAAGTAAATTTAGCAAAATTAAAACTAAGATGTTGTGACGGAAAGTTCAAATTTAAGAAAGCATCCTTCCCATTTACAATAAGTATATGGATTTTGAAGAAATTAAAATCATTTAAAAAAATTATAAAAACTATGTTGTGTCAAATAAGAGTAATCCTATTTTTTACCCTCTTTCGTAATAAAAAATTTCATTAAATAAAAATAAATCCATTAGATAAGTGTTTACAAAATGATAAGATATTAAAGAACATAATACTTAATTTTTTTCCCTTGAAAGAAAGATGAAAATCTCTCCGAAAAAGTCTCCCGCTGATTCATGCAATGCTAGAACATTCCCTTGTAGATTCTGTCAAAATCCCCTCACCAATCTCTCCAAAAAGATAGAAATTTACATTTCTACTCCTATTCTAAGATCTCTAAACATCCTCCATGTTTTTCCACTCACACACACCACTTTTTCTGATAGAAAATCACTCTCTTTTAGTGTAGGGACAAATTTCCCAAGAGAAGCCTCAAGCAACCTTCCAAAAAGCATCCAAATATATTGAATCTTCTTGAAATTTTCCCAACAACACGTCCAAATCGTCTCAGGCTTTGGGCGTTATTGACGCCATTTTCACGTCACTTTAATTTTTATCTTTCTGCAATCTGGCACTGTCGGCGCAATTTTCACGTTTCTTTCTACACTCTGGTGCTGTCGGCACCGATTCTGGCACCGTTGATGCCCACCATGCATAGCTCCACCATTTTTCTTCGTTTGGCTCCGTTCTAGCTCCGTTTTGCCCCGTTTCAGTTGCGTTGCGTTCCTAACAGATAGACCTACAAAATAAGCATAAAACAAACTTAATTTAAAGTATAATTTTATTAAAAAATGTGTGAGACATGTAAAAGATATTAAGCATAGAAAGACATATCAAAAAAACAATCATATTCTTTATCCTCTTCCAAGTGCATAAATAACGTTGACTAATCCAGAGTTTGGTCTCTATTTCTGCGGTTAGGCTGGGAGAATACCACATGCCACTCCAGAGCTCCCACAACTCCCTCTCCTAAGGACTAACAATCTTGCATCAGTTTCCAATCAATTAGACCAAATTGGGGATTTTAATCTGTCACCTTAAAATGTCTAATTCTACATCCAACAAAATCCAACAAAATATATTTTTCTATATATTTGCACCCAACTCCATGGATGAAATACTCTCCCATGAAATCAAATGTGATTCTTCCCATGTTGTAGAAATTATAACCATTTCGGAACATATGATTCTCAACACATTTTAACATTTCATTTTAACATTTCAATTGGCCAGATTGAAAAGTAAATGAAGATCAGAGTTCAAATCATCACAAATTATTAACATTTTAAACCAAATAAAACAAAATCAATTCTCACTAAATCATATCTCAAAGTAGGGAGAAGGATAAAGAAGACTACTCAGAATTCATGAGAATGATACGACAAAACACAGATTTCATATATAAAAATAAGTTTACAAAACAAAAGAAAAAAAAAGACACAATCTATCTCACAATCTTTCCCAAGAAAACTCCAAGAAGTTCTCTCCGAGCCTTTCTCTCTTTACAAGCACTCTCAATTCTCTCTTAGAAGTGTAATGAAGAACAAATCTCTCACCTTCCATCTCCTTTTAATCTCCTTTTACAATCCTTTCCTTTTACAATCCTTGAAGAAAATCTTCAAGCTCTTGACTTTCTCACTTTCTCTCTCTCTAACTCTCCTTCTTGCCTTCACTCCACACACACCTCGCCACTCAAAAAATCTCCCCTCTTTTATCAAAGGCTACGTCTCTCCAAAAAGAATTCAAAATTCCCTCCAAAATTTTGTCCAAAAGTCAACTCTTTTGAATTCAAAAGACATGTTAGTCAACTCTTTTGAATTCAAAAGACATGTCCATTGATCCATGAGACATATCCCTTC